ATGTAATTCCCCATTCTTTACATACTGGTGATTTTCCTTTCTAGCTGTATTTCAAGTATTTTTTTTGCTGGTCATGGCTTATCTGCATGGTTTCTCTGTAGCTGATATCTCACTAGCATATATCTTCTGTAGAGGACATTCTGTAAGTAACAAAAATTATTCCGGTGCTTTTTGTGATCTAAAGGAGTCTTGAGTGGTGTGTCAGAAAGGTAGTAACTGCCATTTTATTTTTGTTAAGTGAAGACTGTTAACTCCACAGTATGTTTACTCTGGGAAATCTGCAATGGCCAAAGGTCCTTTGTTTTGATTTATTGCTGTAGTTCCACCAAACATCATGGGAGAGGAACAAAACGTCTCTGTGCTCATCAGCCAAGCCGTGGAGCTGCTCTGTCAGAGCAATGCGATTCCCCCACCCATGCTGACATGGCTCAAAGACGGACGGCCCTTGCTGAAGAAGCCAGGTCTTAGCATCTCTGAAGATGGAAGTGTACTGAAGGTAAACTGTGTGGTCAGGCTCTGGTGGCGATTGCTTTCTGGGGGTTATATCCACCATGAAGGTACTGATAACTGTTAGAGTTTGGATAGCATTAGGCCCTCTGGTGCAATAGAGAGTAGTGGGTAAGGAGAGAGGGAGGTCATAGACATCTAGATGACTGTGTACAGGTTTTGCAGGAGTAATACTGTATTATTAATATTTAGAGAGATAAATGTAAAAATAAAAATTGAAATATGAACAACCTCTCCCTGAAATTTCATGTATAAAAATGTAAGAAGAAGAAATCCAGGTTTTCATTTTTTTCCTAGATTGAAGAAGCTCAAGTCCAGGACGCTGGCCGTTACACTTGTGAAGCGACAAATGTTGCTGGGAAAACAGAAAAGAACTATAATGTCAATATTTGGGGTAAGGTTTATTAAGCTTATTCCAGGAATGGGAACGGAGCTTAGAGTGAAACTATGATGTGAGACACTAAAATCATCTGTAGTTCATAAACGCTTAATTGCTGAGGTTCATACAGGGAGATGGTGTTGTATATTCTGTAGTTGAACAGTCCCAAGAAAGTGCACACATTTAAAAATTGCTTTGGTTTAGTTCTAAGTTAATACTAGCTATTTTGTAGGCCTTTGTCAGGCTGGGTTTGCATGCATGATAGTAGTTTAGAATTGTAACTATGATTTTGTGTCTATATCTCCTATTTGTGCACTCTGATGCCATTTAAAGTAATCTACTGACTTTCCACTTCTTTAAATGCTGAAGCATGGAAATTCAGGTAAATAAAAGCTGGTTTGCCTGGCTTTATTTGCTCTGCAAAGTTACTGGTGCTGAATCATAAAAAAGGCTTTAGTAATTTTTTTCTATGGCTTGATGATGAATGTGGCTTAGGACATTTAATAATTGATTTTGAGTGGTTTTGACAAATTGAAATGTGTCCCTTTTTGCTATTATAAATTAATTTCTTGCTTTGAAATCACAAGACTAGAAGTATCTAACGGGGTTTGTAATGATAAAACTACAATTTTTAGTACAGAATTCTGTCATTATTAAAAAGAAACATTCCTTGGTGTTTAAATTAGAGGTAGGCATTGTAGTGCCATGCAAGACCATGCAATTTTCCCATGATAATGCATATACCCATTTACTGTGCATGTCATCTTCATCTCTCCCTCCCTAGAATTGGTAAGATCTGCTGTGTTGTAAAGGATCTTGCTGCTGGAGGGATATGGATTTGTTTTTGTGCAGTGATACCATTTCAGTAGGATTTTGAAAGGAGGGATAATTCTTTGCTAGTTAGCAGCTTTGATGGAATACGCTTAATAGAAGCCAAAAGTTGCCTGGGAAAGTCATCTGTGGATAACTGTTTAGAATTACAGCCTTTGTTTATACCCAGGGACCAAAAGTCCTGCTTGCTGTTTTACATCCAGGAAATGTATCCTTGTAAGGATTGGTGAGATCCTGAGAGCTAACTCTAGTTCCAGGAACCACCCCATGTGTTAAATGTAAGATGTACCTCCACAGAGAATGGCACAAACTTTTTGACTAGAAGCAGGACAAATAAAAGCTTGAAGCCAGTACAGTACAATAAAGCCCTTAGCAGTCAGTCATTCTGAAACGCATACATCTGGTTGCTGCTAAATAAAGAGTTTGAGGTGTCAGAAGGAGAAGCTGTCTACTGTCATGTGCATTAAAAATGTGTTGGTAAGTTATTTGCTGATGAGATTTTTATTTGCCAGTTTCAGCCTACATTCCTCCCTGCTTTTTTTGGTCCCTTTTCAAGTATTACCTATGCTATTTTAATCTGATGAAAATGGTTCCCCCATCTCAAGAAGGCAATTATCCCCTCCCTAGTGATTGAACCAAAGTTCTTTAATACTTTGAGAATCAGATTGAAAACAGTGGTCCCTTTTGTCTGCAACTGGTTTACAGTCACAGAGCTGTCGGGCAAAGCTGGCACTCTGCTACCGTAGGGCAATCGAAGGGATGGGGTCCTTAGCGTTGGGTGTGGCAGCCAGTGTGTTTCTGGAGGAAAAATTCAAAGGAAAAACTTGGGCTGAATTTTAGAAGTCATTTTCCAACTAATGATGGTATCTGTAGGTTTATGAGATAAGGCCACAAATGAGGCAGGCTCTTAGAGTTGGAGTCAGTTTACAAATTCACAGGAACAGCTTTGTTCTGTGAAATCCAATCAAAAGTCAGCCAGAAATAGAGCCTATGCATGCACCGACCCTCAGAGGCTGGAAAGATAGATGCAGTCATTCTCAAGTATATTATTCCCTACTCAGGATTTGGTTTACACTGTCAGTAAGAGAATACAATCCTTGTAATTGCTTCAGAGCGTAATGGGACAAATTTGTGTGAAGGTCATCTGGGTCTTGCTGTTGGCTGATAACGTTTTGCTTCAAATGCTGCAATTATTTGGCATTTCTTTTCAGTGTCACCCAGTATTTATGGCTCAGATGAAATCTCTCAGATGATGGTAATTGAAGGGAGCTTGATAAGCCTGATATGTGAGTCTAGTGGCATCCCACCAGCCAGTCTTACTTGGAAAAAGAATGGTGAGTAATCGTCCATTGTCTGTTTTATAAAGCAAATGAGATAATTCTGACCTGCCAGTTGCTCTTTTTTCCTGTAAACATTTTAGATAGTGTGTTCTGAGGAGTTCAAACGTGCAGATATCTAAACAATCCTGATAATGGGTAAAATGAAGAACAATAGTAGATTATTCCCTTCTCTTTAACTCGCCTCTGCTTGGATTAGGTGTCGTTATTCCTAAAGATGTGCAACAGAAGCACCAGTGCAGATATTCCTGGGTTGACTTCAAAATGGACAGTTCATGCATGTTAGTGAAGCGCTTAACCCCTCTCAATATGCTTATTTACTGTGGTGTAGCAAGACAGCATCGAGACACTGCATAACATAGACTTATACTCTGGGTTATTTTAAAATTTGCAGCCATGGCATACTGCCAAGTGATGAAAATCCATCCAGTTGTAGTAATTGCTTTTGGGATTTACTGATCCTTTCTCTCATCCCATTTTAATATTTAAAAGTAGTCTGCACACCTTTTTGCTTTAGGGCTTAAAGTAACATTGACAAACACCTCCTTATGAATCAGTAGACAAAACTAGGTATGTTTAGCACCTTCTTTTAAGCATGGACACTGTTGGAGACAGAATATTAGACAAAGTAAGATGTTGTACTCTTCCATATGGTAATTCTTGTGTTATTAATCAATCTTACCTATTCATCTGTGTCTTTCTAGATGGCATAATTAAGTGTGATGTGTACCTACCTTAATTAATTTTGGCCTGTGGAAAGAGCAGATTTTAATTACAAAACACTTTTTCTAATGCATAAAGTTTTCAGAGAAAATTAAGTTTATAAAGTTCTTTTTAAACCCCTTCTCTTGAAAGCCAAAAAGTCATTGTATGACGTGCTCTAATAATGTACTGTAAGGCTAAATCGTATACACTTAAATAGCAGAAAGGAATCTCGAACCTTGCTCATAGAGAGGATTTGAAATGCACAAGTGAGAAATGAAAATTCAGCTTGTAAGAACTATCAGTGGCAGGTATGTTCTTTTGGTCACAAAGTCCCCCTGCAGTTTGTAAAGATGAAGATAGTTGCCTAATCTGAGGCCTCCGAGACAAAAAATTCTGCTCAGGGAATGTAATATTACTTTGCTGTCATATTTCTGCTGAGGATTTCCTGGGCAGAAGTCTACGGATATGTGCTGTGTGACATAGAATACATAGATGGTCTGGCTGTAAAGACTAAATTATGTTTCTAAGCACTGGCAGTGCTGGGTGAGATGATTATATACTGGAGAGCAAGTCAGATTTTACTGGAAATGTTGTATTTGCTGCTCAGTTGAAGTGTCTAAGACTTTCTGGATGGATGTGAGTGTGGTGAGAATTGTTGTACTTCAGCTTAGGTTGCAATGTGTCATGAAGTCAGCAGTTAGTATGGGAAGTCCTCAGAATTTTCTTGCATGAAGTTTCTGGTGTCTGGGGAAAACTCCCATAGAGCAGTTCTAAAATGGACAAATGTGCAGCTCAGTAATTTTTAAATGAGCCAGCAGACTTTACAGCATGTGAGCAAGCTCATTACCATTTTCTGTGTTTTTATCTGAAAGAATGTCTCTTGCAGACTCTCCACTGGTGGCTGACCTTTCAGGAAGGGTGCGGATCTTATCTGGAGGCAGACAGCTACAGATTTCAATTGCTGAAAAGTCTGATGCTGCATCTTACACTTGTATTGCTTCAAATGTAGCTGGAAGTGCAAAGAAGGAATACAGTTTGAAAGTGTATGGTAAGTTAACATGAAAAATTCTGTTCAGTTACCAGTTCTGAAATAGAGTTATGTTATGAAGGTGCTATCAGTACAGTGACATTAAGCTGCAGGATTTTCAGCCAGTATTACCTAGCTATAGGACAATTTCAGGGTACTCAGAGGAGAATGTTAAGTAAGTAAAATTTTGATGCTCTGGGCTTGGAGCTTGACCAAGATGTTGTATATACCTGTTGAAAGTGCATTTGACCATAGATGATTATGAGGATGTAACTCCTTTAGAGGTTAGTTAGTATAAAGTTTCTTGTTGCCAGACTGTAGGAATGATGACAACTAATTGAACTTAGATTTTTCCAGTTTTACTTAAATTCTGTATTTCAGTCAGGATTAAAAGGAGGTATTTTTAAACAATCCTATGAAGGAGAAAATCTTCAAAAATCTGCAGGGATTGGCAGCATCTATTCTAAGCATTTGGGTCAGTCTTTTTTAATTTAGTGGGGTTTTTTTCCTGTTTGCATTTTAAAAATTGCCTGTAAGTTACACTTTATGGGATGGGGCAGGGAAGGTTATTTGTTTTTTCTCAATCCTGTGGAAAATGCTATGAATTGCAGAGTGCCCCTAACCGATTTGCCAGCAGTAACCCACAATAACTGATCTTTATGAAAATGCTGATCTGGCAGACTTGATTGTTGTTCTGTTCAGAAACAAGTGAAGATCCTGAAATGTAGCTTCCAGTTGACTTCTAAACCGTGTTTCTTTTTCTTTCATAGTTCGACCAACTATACTAAACAGTGGTAGCCACCCATCAGAAGTCATCGTCACTCAAGGAAATGAAATTTCCTTGGAGTGCAAGGTACAGGGCATTCCAGAACCAGCAATAACGTGGATGAAGGATGGCCGTCCACTGGTCAGTGGAAGGGACATAGTGATACTTCATGATGGTCACTTTCTTCAACTGAAAAACGCCCAGGTGTCAGACACTGGCCGCTACGTCTGTGTTGCTGCCAATGTGGCAGGGCTCTCTGACAGAAAATACGATTTAAATGTTCATGGTGAGTATGCGCAAAAGGGGGCAGGCATAACAGAAACAAATTAGCCTTTTAAGTTCACTGAAGGGCATCCAAGAAACAGTTGTGTGGCTAAATGCACCACCTGCATCTGTTGCAGGCTTCGCATGTGATGCAGTTTCACTTGCAGTGTTGCTAAAACCCAAATTCAATTTTGTAGCTCTGAATATTTTAAAATCTTATCTCTGTCCCTGTTAATATCAATCCACCTCCAGTTGCTCCATCTCCCAAGAGGAGAAAACCAAGATGTGGTATAATTTTATATGGTATTGGATGAGTGTCATTATGGAAAGTATTCTGTTGTGGGAGATAGAAATCAAGGTTTAACCAAGAACACCCTGCTAGTGGCTGCTACCAGAGGACAGTTACCTAAAGACAGCCAGTATCTCAAGTACTGAATTATCAGATCTCTCATTTTGCACAATCAGAAGAATTTAAATATGGTACCTCCAACTATAATTTGTCTCCATAATTTAACTTGATGGAATTGATAATCATGTTACATTGAACATCATGTTATCTTATAGCCACTGTAATTTTTTTACATATAATTTTTTATGCTTCATTGAACACTGAATATTCATGTTTTACTGTGAGAGTAAACACAGGAATTCTCATTATTGAAAATGAGAGGCCTAAATTAGTTACCGGTTTTATTTATGTGTTTTTTTTATTTGGAATGTTTGCTGTAATGTATTGTCAAACTTCTGGGTAGTAAAAAGAAACTTTAAACCTCTTCCAGCTACTCAGAGTGCTGGAGGATGTTGGCCAATTCTTGACCCCAGGCTTTATGTTCTAAAGTATGAACTGTAGAACTGCTTCCAAAGTGGAAATATTCTTGCTCCTAGTAAAGAAAAACTAAAAATAAATTTGTGGTAGTTATTTTAATAGGGAGTTGTTGTTTCCATTAGAAAAAGCATGTAATTCTGTCAGTGTTAGAATTTTCCCTACTGTTTCATTAGAAACTGGAAATTATAATTAGTGTAGAATGGACAGAACTACTATAAACTGTTATTCTCTAAGGATCTTAAGCCATAAAATAAAGTAATAGAACAGATAGAATTTAATTTTAGTTTTTCCATGCACTTACACAGTAAGAAATTGTGGTTAATATATAGTAGTAAGTGTCTCAGTTCTGTAGCTCTTCACTTGCCAAGCTTATCTTAGCTTCAGAGAATTACTAATCGGATGATGATGTTTTAATTTTTATTTGTTCTGAAGTATGGCATCTCTTTACTCTTGTTCTGTAGTTCCCCCAAGTATTGCTGGTGACCTGCAGATGTCTGAAAACATCAGCATTGTGGAGAAGAATCCCATCTCTCTTGTTTGTGAAGCTTCAGGAATTCCTTTGCCATCAATAACGTGGCTCAAAAACGGATGGCCTGTCACTTTGAACAACTCAGTGCGAATCCTCTCAGGTACAAAAGCTGTAGTTAAAAAAAAAAAAAAAAAAGAAGGGGATGAAGGGTCCTCTGCATCTATAGTACAGGTATTTCACAAGAGGCTTGGTTTAATAATCTGTAAAGGCAAGGAGAGAAGAGAAACTGTTATTCAATGCCAAGCTTTTCAGTAAATGGGGTCAGATGGGCTGGAGTGCCTGGTGAGTAGCTAATGTAAACTTTTAAATTTGTTACCAAACTTTGTGTATGGGCCAAAGGTGTGATAACTGTTTGGTCTGTGACACGGAATAAGCCATTATTCTGGCTGTTAGGTTATGTTAGTCCAATGCTTATTTCAAAAATATGTCAGATGGTAACACCTTGCTTTGTCAGTGCCAATACATATACTGCATTAGCTCTCTCATTTGTTTAGTTTTCTCCACCTGTTCTTCTTCACAGTTATTTTATCCTTTAAATATGAAAAGTCTTTGAGAGAATGAATATATATGACAATAAACAGAACACATCTTTCATTTCTGTGGGTCTCTTTATAAAAACAAAGGGAAACCAGCTCATGAGCCTCAGCCATTAATGCATGTAACTATTTCCTGGATTTGGAGCTGATCACCTAATAAAATGTCATCTAATAAAAGCTGGAATTAGGCGGTCAGTCAGAGACAGCACAGAATGCTGCATTAGCAAGAAGAGTAGTCCAAGGGATCTGGAGAAACTTATGATAGGCAAGCAGAGAAACAGATCCAATTCATTAGCGATCTAGATTTTTCAGGTTGGAATAACCTACAGAGAACTAGTTCAGATGCCTCTTTATGACAGTAATAACTGACAGAGGTGTCTGAAATAGGAGGGGCTCAGTACCTGTTCCTGTAAGCCATCTTCCTGCAATACCATAGGGATGTGAGTGTAATTGACTGGCAGCTGTGGCAATGTTAAAGCTTTTGTGTTTACAGTAGGAAATTGCGTTAGCAGCCCTTGAGATTACAAATGGAAAATACGTTTTGCGTTGACTTCATGTGTCTGGGGATCAGCTTTGTGGAGTGTGTTGAAGTAATTAAGTATCTGGTGACAACTGAGATGTTTCTTTGATCTTGGGTTTGCCACTCAGAGCTAGAAATCTCATGAAAGTAAGTTTCGATGAAGTTTCTAATACTATGACGCAGCCACCATGCAAAGCCAAGCCATCCTACAGCATGAATGCAAGAAAACTAACAGATAGGTAAAGGAACTGGAAGGTGTTTAGCTCAGCTACGACTGGATTTGAAGCAGGAATTTTTCAGGATTTTTTTCATTCGTATAGCTTTTAACATTACAGATAGTCCTGTCTTCTGCTTTCTACTTTTACCTATGGCACATGGAAAAAGGATTGGGTGTCTGATAATTATCCAGTATAAATCTGACTGTCTGAGTTGGTGTGCATTCCTTTGTGTGTGAAGTTGCCATCAACAGAAATAATTCCTTCTGGGCTTGATTGTTTCTCTTCTGTCTGTTGATTTCTATACCCACACTAATATCACCACCCGGATTGCAGAGTCAGGAAAGGTGAGAGACAAAAAGATGTTGATTGTCTCTCAATGTTAGCTCCAGCGGGATTGGGGAAACACACCAGAGCTTGGTGCTTTGTTTTCCAGCAAACTTTGTGCTTTTGTGCAGTTTTTTAGAAAACTACATGTTGTGGTAGTGAACTGTAACCAACGTGGTATTTGGAACTTTATTTGTGCTTGTACAGCTGTAAAAAACCAAAACCAACAACAACAAATCCCTAGCTTAAGGGGTGAAATACTTTGCCAAAGCAAGATTTTGGTTCTGTTGATTGAAAACATACTTGGCATTGCAGATGATTTATATGTGTGGACACACTGCTGGCAACCTTGAATCTGTTAATTCAGATACTATGCTGATGTTTTGTTTTAATGATGCTTCCTACATACTTCAGAAAAAAAAAAAGAAAAAATTCCACCCTGCCACATGTGCTTTTCTTGCAGACCATGCGCTAAGCTGCATGCTCGCTTTAGGAAGAGAAAAGCTTTTATTAAGTTATGTAGAAAATCATGTCCTGCCTCAGCACCGAAGCCCTGGCTGTGCAAGTATGTGATACCATAGAAAGTTACAGTCTTCTGCAGGCAGATGTCTGCTTCTTATATGGCTTTGTTAAGGATGTGGATGGGAGAAAGGATCAGGGTGAAATGAGTCTGGGAGAACTGAGCCTTTCTCGGGGTTGCAGTGCTTCCTCCAGCAGGTAGGATTCTGTGAGCGGAGGCACATCCGTCAAGCGGGTCATCAGTTTCTTCCTTCAAAGCACATGACCAGGAACATAAATTTCTGGGATATATCCAAATAACGAGACCCTGTGGATAGCTGCAGGCAGGACATGCACACTTCAGACGTGATTTACTGTGAGGTAATGATTGCTAATGTGTGAGCTGCTAATGAGCAACTGGAAAAAGCCAAAGGATGGCCACCACATTTGTTTTCATACTTAAATGCTCAGTGATGTTTGTTTTGCTGTTCCTCTGCCAAAAAGGAAGCAAAGGGAAATTATTCTGCTAGGGTAAAGCAGGGTTATTCTTGGTCCTTTGGTCAAACATACTTGCAAGTCTTCTTCCTTTTAAACTAGCATGCCTGTACAAATGTGTTCTGACAACAGTTCTGCTGTGGTGTCATAGGAAATATGCTATTTTAAAACATTACCTGTAAACCAGTGCTGCTGTTGTCACCTGTTATTATTATTGATGGCACAATTAATATAAATGCTAGAAGAGAGGAGTGGAATATTATTCCTTATCTGTACATGTGAAAATACCTTTATGGAGTGTTTGTGTGGGTTTATAAAAATAAACTTATTTTTATGCATACACACTCCCCCCGCTTCTGATGAGGCATCATTATTTTTCCTGGATAGGTATCTAGATTCTCAGTATAGCAAGGTACTCATGTGAACAAAAATCCTGCTGAGACACTGTATTCTGTCAAATTTTCCTGCCTAGAAGTATGTGCAAGAATTCTGCATATTTCAAAAAAGTGTCTGTGCTGATCAATAAATTGTGTGTGTGCTGTACCCTTGCATGTAGTTTGAGTGACCTGTGTGGAGCAGGTTTGATTTTCTCTGCATGAACTCTACGGTGTGCCTCGAAGATTTCAGTGATTATTCCAGTTGGTCTCTGACTTCCTCCAGAAATTCTCAGAAAACATCTGAATACCTCAAAGTTCACTTAAATACAATTTCTGGAGGGGAAAAAAAAAAAGGGATGTGTCAGGGTAGTTTGGAAGTTACTGCCTAGAAAGAATAATGTGATCAATATTAAGCACAGATCTAAAAGCACTGAGGAACTGAGGGCCTGAGCAGATTTCCTATAGGAAAGACGGGGAAAATCTTTTTAGTAGGGCCAGCTGTGACAACACAAGGGGTAATGGTTTCAAACTAAACCAGGGTAGGTTTAGACTGGATATAAGGAAGAAATTCTTTACAGTGAGGGTGGTGAAACACTGGAACAGGTTGCCCAGAGAGGTAGTGGAGGCCCCATCCCTGGAAGCATTCAAGACCAGGTTGGATGGGGCTCTGAGCAACCTGATCTAGTTAGCGGTGTCCCTGCCCACTGCAGAGGGGTTGGGCTAGATGACCTCTAGGGGTCCCTTCCAACCCAAAACATTCTATGATTCTATGTAGATAAATGATGGGAGTTAGAGTAAGGTCAGTCACTTTCTCTTATTGTTTGTTCTGCAAAACAAAACACATTAAAAAAATAGACCGCATTAAAAAAATTTACAGCTGTAAATTTAACCAAAACATTAAAAAAAATAAAAAATCAAGAGTTAGCACAGAAAATTTGGGAGCAGGACTTTAATGATTGTACATTTTTTGGCTTTCCCCTCAGGGGGCAGAATGCTCCGTTTGACACACACGAGTGTAGCAGATGAAGGTCAGTATACCTGCATAGTGACCAATGCTGCGGGAGAAGTGAGGAAGCATTTTGACCTTTCTGTTCTAGGTAAGTATGTGATAATTTATGGTGCAGTAGAAGAAGATAAGGGCATCTACTGTATGCTTTGGTGTTTTTTAACATAATTATGCCAAAATATATGTCCTTAGGGGAAAAAAAGTGCATTTGATAACATGGTCAGGAAATCAGGTTTTAAAGAGAAGTTACTTCTCATTGTGAATTTGCTGTTTGTTTAGGTTTTAAAATTAAGATTCTTTGGGCATAATTTGGAATACCTGGCAGCTGCTTCTGTTTTGTGGTTTGTTTGGGGTTTTTTTCTGAAAAGGAACTATGTCACTGTAACTGGCTTCAGTCTAATATGGACTAGATGATCTCTAGGGGTCCCTTCCAACCCCAAACATTCTATGATTCTATGTTGTTATTTCAGTTGGGTAGAAGTCTGGGGGATGCTGACAGCCGGACTCCCATCCTCTGTTCTGTTTCTTGTTGCTCATAGCTTTGCTCTCCCTTGGGCATGATGAATAAGGTGAATCAGGTTACAGGTGACCTGAAAAGGTGTGAGGGGGTGTGTTTTCCTGGTCAGGTTAGTTTTCGGCTAGATCAGTTCCCTGCTGGTTCACCACACAGCCTATACATGCCAGTATTGGTGAAAGGAAGATGACAAGAGTGAGTGGTCAGGGGAATAGTGCTATTTCTTTTGGCACTGGCCTGAATTTAATATTTAAGTCAAAACAAAACTATGGCCCCAGGAAACCCTATGAAATTCATGTGAATCTGTTGCATCTAATGCTCAAGTGCAGAAAGGTGCAATCCCATGTGGTAATACTTATGAATTAAAAGCAGCATTATTGCGCAGCAGTGGGTATAATATGTATAGCTGAGTGGCATGATGGTAATAATCTGTTGCAACAAAGATGTAAAGGGAAAGCCAAGACCAACAGGGAAATTAAACACTGGAGCTGGAATCGTTTTTGCAAAATAGAGATCTCTGATTCAGTGGAAACCTTTAGTCAGTAGACAACATAAACCAAGTGTGGTAGCGGGTGATCCTACTAACGTATTTAGACAAGGACTTGTACAGCAGGCTCTTTGGATGGCTATTTGGAACCCTTAATATGTAATTTTGTCACTGCTTATTTTTTAAAAAATTTTACTTTTCCCAGAAAATACTACTTTTTGGTTTGATAACTATTTGCTATTTTTATCTATAATTATCAGGCCTGATGCAGGTTGTTTTATAGCATTCCTATATACAATTTTCCTGTAGGTTTCTTTCCTCTAAGGTGCTGAGCGCTAACAGCTTCCCTTGCCTTCAGCTGACTTATGCACATTCAGCCTGTAAATGATAATTCACATTCATGTCAGTTCATGTTTATTTGATGAGCTCATGGAAGTGTAAGTCTGGTAGAATGGAAGAGATGGATAAACACTGAAAAGCATTCATTGTTTTACTGTTTTCTTTGGAGGGTTTTGGTGGCAGGGTGTTCATGAGGGTTCTGGGAATCTCTCTTGCATAGGCTTTGTTTGCCTTGAAGAAAAATGCTCAGTGAAGCTGATTTCAAGTGGGCTAAGTGGAAAATTCCATTGTTTGGTCTCCTCTTCCCTCCCCCCAGTAATTCCTTTGTCCTTCTAGAGGAAAGTTACTGGAATGTAGCCTGATAGCAACACAGAATGTTCATCGACTCACTGTAAATAAGAGCCTTACAGACATCCCAGTGTTTCTCTAAATTGGTTTAGGATGTGCAACAGGCAAGCCAGTTTGCATGGAGAGCTTGGTGTAATAAGATAATATTTATATATTTGCAAAATGTTTGGTGTGGCTTTGTCATATTTCTGAAATTAATATGTCTTGACATCTTAGTGTATTATTCTGGGGCCAAAGCAATGAGTTGCTCTGTTTGTTTATGAATGGTAACTTTTGGCCTCACTTAAAAGTCCTGAACTTTGTGATTTTAGATTCACCCATATAATTCCTTCACTAGTTGATGCTTCTTTGTCTCATTGCACGTGGATGCTAGCACCCACCCAAAAGTCTGGTTCTCATTGCCTGTACAGTCACAGCAGGGAATTCGATCATAACTGTATCACCGGTTGGTGAGAGTGCCAGTACTGCCCGCATCTTCCCCCGTGCTGAATGCCACTAGCCCGCATCTCACCATGTGTCCTAGTCAGAGGTCAGCTTGTAGCCACGCTGAAGTAGTATCTTTGCCATTCCAGTTAAGTGAGATGCAAACCTCTTTCAGTGGTGTGGTGGGGTTTTTTGGGGTGTTTTTTGGTTTGTTTTTTTTTTTTCTTCTTTACTCCAGTTTGTACCCTTCATTAGTATCAAAAATCTGGTGTAACATTATTTTTCTCTGTTGACAATGAATTCTGCATATTATCATGATTCTTATTTTTGTAAAACTTTTGCTTCCAACTTAGTGGCAGATCACCAATAAGCTGCTGAATATATTTTAATTCCTCTCTCTAGGTATTCTATCTAGACTGAAAGTTTGCATTTTGTAGGATTACTAAAGCATAGTATCTGGTTCCCTAGTCCAGCATTTTTGTTACAAAACTCCAAAATCTCTTGGAGATTGGGTTTGCTTTCTTATAACTATAGGCCTCCTTTTCAACCTGTTACAGTCTATGCCTACTTTGATTTGTAGTGCCATTTTCTTTTGGCCTGAATCTACAAATGCCTCTACTTTGAAATAAATAGTTGATCAGAGCTCTTCACCGCCACAGCTACTCACCAATGCATTCATAATCCGGCATCCCCTCCAATAGCATGTTAGTCTGTGTAGTCCTGTTGACCAAGATTATATGGAAACAAGTCATCAAGTGGTCGGCCGTATGGTAAGAGTTTTCCTGTACTGAGTTAGCTATCTGGGGGGTGGATAAGTATTTTAAGGTGTTGTGGTTTAACCCAGCTGGCAACTAAGCACCGTGCAGCAACTCGCTCACTCCCCCCTCCCTCAGTGGGATGGGGGAGAGAATCGGGAAGAAAAAAAAAGGTAAGAGCCGTGGGCTGAGATAGAGACAGTTTAATAAGAGAAAAGAATAGTAATAATGAGAATGGTAAGAGAATATACAGAATATACAAAAGAATGATGCACAATGCAATTGCTCACCACCCACTGACCGATGCTCAGCCTGTCCTGAGCAGCGATCACTCCGCAACTCTCCAACCAACTGACTCCCCCCGAGCATGACGTTATATGGTATGGAATAGCTCTTTGGTCAGTTTGGGTTAGCTGTCCTGGCTGTGCTCCCTCCCAGCTTGTTATGCACCTGGCCGAGCAGGACAAGCTCAAAAAGTCCTTGAGTAGTCTAAGCACTACTTAGCAACAACTAAAAACATCAGTATGTTATCAACATTCTTGTAAGACTAAATTCAAAACACAGCACTATGCTAGCTACTGTGAAGAAAATTAACTCTATCCCAGCTGAAACCAGGACATAAGGGTATGGTTTTGTCTTCTGTTTCCTAAGAGAAACGTAGCTTGTACCACAGCAAGATGCCTTTAGACCTATGTAGTTTGTTCATCTGCCTGTATGGAATTAGCTCTATTTGCATAAAAGACATGTATGCTTTTATACAGCATCCACTTGTTGGTAATCTGTTGTATTGCTTTGAGCATGCTGGTAAGGAGAAAAAAACCACACATGGTATGTGAATAGACAAGCTCACTCTTACAAATCAGTTCTTTCTCTAGAATTCTAGATAGATGCTTTCAATTACTGTTGGAAAGCAAACAACTCTTAAATTTAAGCACATAGTTTTGAACAAATAGATCACTTGCTGCTTAATATGGCTGATAGAACTTGTAACTTATAAAACCTGCTGGTGCATAAAATCAAACCTGGCCTCGCTAATCAGTGTTCGTCACCATTGCCCTACTGACCATACTCGGAAATATTGCCCTCCAGACCATACTCCTCAGCACCCTGAGCATCTCTCTAGCTCTGAAGACTAAGTGAGGTGAGTACTTTGAGTCTGTGGTCCTCCTTTGCCCTTTGTGTGGACTTGTATGGCTAAGGGGTGCATATCTGTTGTGCAGGCAGGTTAGCTCTATGCTGTCTCACATCTGGACCTGTTTCTGGTAGATCTGGGCCGTTCATTGATTGATGTGATTAAGGGAAGTGTATGTTGAGATATGGCCTGAGTGTGTCTTTGTTGTATTTAAATTGGTTGTAAGTAATACTCACTAATGTTGTTGTCTTCTCTGGTTTTAGTACCTCCAGGGATTGTGGGTGAAAATAAACCGGAAGATGTGAAAGTGAGAGAGAAGCACAGAGTTACCCTAACATGTGAAGTGATAGGTAAAAGTGTACAATATTACTTTACCGATCAAACCCATGGCATCAGTCATTATTGGTTCTGAACAGCATGTTTTTAATGGAATTTTCAGTTCAGTGGAGTTTTTAAATTTAACCATAGTGCTTATAGTAGGATTAAGCACTCCTCCTTACAAAGGTTTCATAAATTGTAACCAAGAGGATAGTTGCTGTGATAATTTCTTCTCTAAAGGCCTGCAGAATTTAAGAGGGGGTGTGTATTACTTCAGGAGGTTTGAAGGCTTTAGAATACTTATTCCAAAGCATCTCCCTAAAGGCTATATTTTAAAAGGGCATCTGAATCTATATTTTCCTGTTTTTCAGAAATCTTGGCGTATCCTAGAGGGTATGCAGCAACTAATATCTGCAATTTTCTTCACTCAATTAAGGGAACCCTGTACCACAGATCACCTGGATAAAGGATGGGCAATCTCTAATTGAGGATGAAGATCACAAGTTTCTGTCCAGTGGGCGTTTCCTGCAAATCACCAATGCTCAAGTCACTGACACAGGGAGATACACATGTATTGCATCCAATACAGCTGGGGATAAGAGCAAAAGTTACAGTCTTAATGTACTTGGTAAGACAGCTGGGCTGACTCTTGCAGAGAATAATATTAATCTCAGGAAAAAAACAGATAATCACATTGGAATTTTGTAGTACTTTAATCACAGGAATGCTTAAGTTGCGTGTCTACAATTAAAATTGTCTAGCTTAGTAATTGATAAATAATAGTAGTTTAATAGAAACGTCAGTTCTATGCTTTAGACAATATAGAGCTAGAAAATGGGACATTGTCTGTATGGAGTGAGCAGGTCAGTACATTGGATTATTGTGATTCAAGGAAGGAGTATCTGAAGAGCACTTCAGATTGTGATCTCTTCATACAAGCTGAAACCATCTGCAGTTCTCTTTTTTTTTCATGATGGTTATTGCATAACCAAATGCAAACAATGGTGAGTTTGTTTTCCACATCCTCGTTTCCTAGGCTCACGCCTCCTACCAATCTCCTGCTCACAGGATCATCAAGCAGCAGGGCTGCCAGCTGCTGCGCAAGAAGTGGTGGCTGGCTTCCTGGTGACCTGTGTTTGACAAAGGCTAAGGGTGGGTGGAATCCACTGACACAGGCTGACCGTTAACTTCAGAACAAAACACAAAAGAGTTGTCTGACCCTGCATTTCAGTGCACCTCCTAGCTATTCAAGGCTGCAACCAGATTCCTAGACTGAACAGGGAATAGAAAATTGTCTTTTCATAAAGGTCCTTCCTCGGGTTAATTCATTTTGTTGTTCCTAGTGTCTCCAACCATTGTGGGTGCAGATAGCCATGGAAATGCGGAAGATGTCACTGTTATCCTCAACAGCCCAACATCACTGGTTTGTGAGGCTTACTCATATCCTCCAGCTACAATCACGTGGCTGAAAGATGGTAATCCTTTAGAATCAAACAGAAACATCCGCATTTTGCCAGGTAAATTTTTTGTTGTTATTGAGAGATACATAACACTTTATTCTTTTACTGTTTAGTTTCCCATTACAGAATTTTTTTTGAAAAACCAAAGGATATATTTCTATTAAGTGCCATTTTTGTACTTTGTAGCACTTCCTATTCCAGTATTTTTTAAGTGCTTCACAATTAACTGATTAGTTACTTGTATTCTATTTGTATTTAGGTATTTATCCTTTTGTTCCGTAAAGCTAAATGGTGGCAAAAAGGTAACTGGAGTTAATAATGAGTGCAAGTACTTTGAAATTAAGTATGGAAATTAGATGCAGAGAGAGATAAACAACAACAATAGTAAAAAGAATGAGGTGGTGTTTTTATAGGTCATCAGTAATTTGGCATTTTTAATTTGTGGAGTAACTCTTAGCTAGCACATCTATGGAGGTAAAAAATGGGAACAAGCTTCTCTGGTAACACTGAAGTAATGTAGATGACCAAGTACTTTAGCATTGTTAAGGGCAAGTGCTGAGAGAAAGAATAAGTCAATATTGATAGCGAGGAATTGAATTAATACATGGGGGCGCGATTTCTAGGAAGTCTGAATAGAGCTGCAGCCAAATTAAATAGTGACTCATCCCTGAGAATGCAGAGCTTATAAATTGTAAATAAACAGGATACTATGGGAAGGAAACTGATGGATGTCAAAATTGTAGAGGCCACCTGAAGTCTTAAATCCTACTGATTCATTAATGTTTACATTTCTTCTCACATTGTGGCTGTCGCTTCTGTCTGTTCTCCAGAGGAACTTAAGGGCCTCTTTCACAGGAAGGACTGCACTGGAAAGCAGTTCAGAAGCTCACATCCACCCCGTATGTTGAATAGGCTCTTTTCATTTAGTCTTACTGATTATGACTGCTTTCCCTTTTTCTGTGAATGAAGTGCAGAATCCTAAATCACTTTTTCCTATCTAAAAATCTTCAAGAAATCTCTTGCTTAGAACTATGTTAACAAATTTCCCAAGAATCTGTAACCAACAAGTAGTTGTGATCCAAAGCACTCATGCAAATTATGCGTGCATTTATTACACAGTGTACATGGTGGTAAGCAATCAGTTTTTCATGCTCATCTAAGGGCGGAATGTGGACCAAAGTGTTGAAAATATGCTGCAGAAACTATTTAAATAATTGGGAAGCAAGAGTTAACATAGATGCTATTAAAGAATGATGTCATTTGGCAGGTGGTCGAACCCTGCAGATTCTGAATGCACAGGATGACAACGCTGGAAGATACACCTGTATAGCTACAAACGAGGCTGGAGAAACTTTGAAACACTATGAAGTGAAAGTCTACAGTATGGAAATACTTCCAAATTTTTTTAATTTATTTTCCCTTTTATTTTTTTCAAATTATTTTTAATTTTTTTTCCCCTTTGCAGTGTTACCTATACTGGTGAATACAAGGAATTCTGTTAGTAGCTTTGTTTTGCAAATATCTGCATTAGCTCATGGTATTGCTTGAGGAAAGACACTAGAAAAGTTTCCTGATGCATTCTTTACAAATACTGCTGTTGAGCTACAAACCTTGGTACCACACAGGGGAAGGCATTTAAGAAACGTTGAACTCCAGTTTCTTCTGAAATGCTTTTTTGGTAATGATTTGAGTGCAGCACAATGGGAGATGTGAGCAGAGAATCTTGTGAGCAAAGAAACTATTTTAGGAAAAAAAAAAAAAGGAGGGGAGGGGACCCATAACATCTAGTGGGAAACTTTCTTGAGTAAGGTAAACCAGGAGGATACTATTTTTGCATCCTTCCATAAAATACCATATGCACAAAGCTTTCCCATTCAAGGCTTCCTGTCAGCGCATTGTCCTTTGAGCATCTGTGCCTAATACTCTATTTTAGTGCTCAAACTCTTCATTATGGGCTCAGTCAAGCATGATTTTTCACCTTTTTTTTTTTTTTTGTTTTGTTTCCTATTCTGAATTGGAGTTTGGTTTACTCCCTCACAGTAACTGTGCTGTTATTTTAATTGCACTAAGTCCCTAATAAGGCCCCATTGGATTTGGAATAATGAGAAGATGACAAAAGAGTTCATTATTGACGTATGGCTGTGTAGCAACATAAAGCCTCCCACCCCCAAATGCCATTGCAACTGTCAGTTATTTTGGTACTCTAAGCATTACGGAGAATTTAAAATTTCCCACTGAACAAAGAATGAAAAATGCTTTGAAGGCGTTTAAAATAATTTAAAATATTTGAGACCACGGTGGGGAGTAGCTTAAGAATTTTGAAATGTTCCATTTTCCTTCTGATTCAGAAAGAAACGAGGTTTTGCAACACTGGGGTTTCAATGGAATGGAAATGCTGAGTTTTGACCAGCTACTCTGAGCATGGACTTCGGTTCAAACATATGTTTCTGAGAATATTAGTTTCCATTAAAATGCCTTTTAATGACTGCAGTACACTGAACTTTATAGATTCAAGGCAAACACATAATAAAGTCCTATAGCTAGGTAAGGCTATAGTCAGGTTTACATATCTAAAACTGTTGAAAACAGGTTTATATATTTTTGTGTAATACATATACTAAAATTAGTTTAAAATACATACACATATATATATATATGTATAAAAATAAAAATTCAGCTATGGGGAAGAAGCAGATTACAGGGGGAATGCACTTGCTTTCCCTGAGGTCATCATCCAGTTTTTCCCTTTGTCCAGTTAATTTGAAATGCTGCATAAGACAGCAAGTCATGAAAGTCCCTCTCGGTCCCTTTGTGTTTGTACAGTTCCACCCACCATCAACAAAGGGGATATCTCAGGGATGGGTCTTTCGCCTAAAGAAGTGAAGATCAAAGTAAACCACAGCCTTACCCTGGAGTGTGAAGCTCATGCCGTTCCTGCTGCTGCCATCAGCTGGTACAAGGATGGACAGGCCAGTCACAGACTTAATTCCTTCTAATGGGTGGATTTTGTACAGAAACAGCTGCATATTCACTGTCACTATTAATGAATGTTCCTGCAGCATAACAGGCTCACTTGCACTGCTGAAGACAGCAGGAAGTAATCTTCCCACTGTCTTGTTGGCAGGATCACACCTTACGCATCTTAGGATATTTGCTGTTGGCTAGACCTCCTCAAATTGACAACCTTGCTCTTTTGTGGGTGCTTGGCAGTGCCACCAAGACATAAGTGCTGGAGTTACCAGGGCCTGCCACTGGCCTGTGCTGTAAAGGGGGAGGGTCCTGCCTAGCAGTCACATTCCATGGTATGAGCACATGTCCCCATGCTGTTGTGTGAAGTCCCCAAAGGCCCTGTTATAGAATGGCCCCATGCTTGGTTCCTCTAAGTGCTGCCCTTGCAGAAGTTGCAGAGAGCCTCCCACTTGGTTCTGGCAGAGCTCACAAAGCCGCAAAAGCATCTGGATCCTCTGCTAGGGTGCATGAGGCGTGGTTTCTGCCACACACAGTCTTCACAACAACAACATTGCTCTGGAGCAGAAGCAGTTTGGAAGGGCAATGCTACAGAATCTTACTGATGTGCAATCTGCTGGGGGCTGGCTATAAATAAAAAAGAAACAGTGCAACTCTTCTTTAAGAAAGGAGAATATAATCTCTTGCTTTAGCGGTTCTGGTAGGGCACTTATCACGTGGCAAACTGCTGCACCTCTGCAGCTGGAGCAGCTCTTCCTGGATTTACTGAGCATGCAGAAACAGCCTGGAGTCACAGAGGGACTGTGTATACACCCTCCATCTGTTTCGAGCATATGCTGTAATTCTAGGATCTCCTGGGTGTACTGATTGTATTGCCAATTAAAAATTACATTTGGGGGAGTTAAGAGGTCCCCAAAGACAGACCGTGGCTGTAAGCAGCTTCCTGCCACTGTCAGAGCAGCAACTTTTTCTTAGGTTGCCCCTGGGTAAATGGCTTTCACTCACATCTGTGGACTAAATTAATCATCCCCTGCAGGCCCAGGAGTTCGGTGCTGACTCCCTAATGCATTCTGTTTTCATTATTGAGAAACACAGGTTGTATCAGTGTAGTCTCTGCTGTTATGTGTGATGTAAATTCTAGGGACAGTAACATCTAATCCTGTGTATCTCTGCATTGCCGCTGCATCTGTTTTATGTTCACACTGTGTCCTTGCTGGGCAGCAGATACTAGTGCTTGTGTGGCTGTAGGGTGAGTTAGATGGAGTTGTTTACCTCATAGAAAACTGATAGTTTTATGTGTGTAGGTTTTCCATCAGCTGATTGACTTGGCCAGGGTCTTGTTTCAGGGACTGAATCAGCCTGATTAGTCATGAGAGCCCTTGCCTGATCGTGATGGCATCGCTCCCTTCAGCAGAGAGTTGCAGTTGGGGTTAGGAGTGATGTAAAACCACATCTTCTTGGGAGACCAGCTGCCAAGATCAGAAAGATGAAGATGCAGAGTTTCTGATAAAGATGAAAAGCAACCTGCCTCCAGGAGCTTGGAGCTTAATCAAGTTTACTCATGAAGGATCTCCCGAGGTCCCTTCCAACCCTTGCCATTCTGTGATTCTGTGAAAAGCTTTTGGTCTAAGGGGGGAAAGGAGGAGCAGATGAGAGAAGAGCTGGGCTGTATCCCCTGTGGCTGAGGCTGCCACCCCAGGAGCACTTGGCTTGGGATTGTCTCCTAAGTGGTGACCCTCAGTCATTTGGTGTCCTAAGCAAGTGCTTTCTTTGTGTAGATTGAAAGTGGGCCGTGCTGGAAGCATTAACAGAAATTGAAGGATATTCTGTTGGTAGTGGTTCCAAAGCAGAGGAAATACCAAAACTAGAATATGCTCTTACTCCCAGTATACTGCCTTAGGAAGGGTTTTGAAACAGCCTGAATTTGACGAAAAGAGACATGGCATCATATTACTTCCACAAATATGGCTATTTCTAGTGTATGTTTTGCCAAGTATTAATTTCCATGTAAAATTACATTACAGCCACTTAAACCAGATGATCATGTCATTATCCAAGCTAGTGGCCACACTCTGCAGATTAAGGAGGCTCAAGTATCAGACACGGGTCGTTACACTTGTCTGGCATCCAACATTGCTGGAGAGGATGAAGTGGAATTTGATGTAAATATACAAGGTAAATAGAGTTCAGACAATAAAATTCTTCTTATAGCTTCCTTTTCTAATGTTTTGGGATGTTGGAATTCTTGATAATTTTGTATCTTTTGCACCTGTTTGTTCTAATACAATGCATTTGTTTTGTGTGATTTTTATTTCATGTGTATTTTGCTCATCTTTAAGAAATACAGTGTTTTCTTTCTTTCATATTTTTGTGACGTGCAGTGTTTCTGAAGTCAGCAGAATGACATAGTAACTTTGATGTTCCTCTAAACTACATGAAAAATTTTAATTTAGCTTAAACTAAGGCATGATATTTTATTTATCTTTCTTGGGTAGTACTTAGAGGCCCCAGACGTAAGCATCCTGTTGGCCTACACACTGTGTAAATACAAGAAAACAATCATTAGTAATTTCTGATTAATGTAGACAAACTTAGAGTTTGAGTAAAACCAGATAGCTTACTGTTTAAGTATTATTGTTGATTAATACCCTCTGTGTTTTGTTGCAGGTCTTCTTACATTGTTATTTATTAGTCTTCAGAAAATATTCAGTAGATTTCTCAGTTGATCATTCTGATCAAAAGAACTAGAATTTTCCTGGCTAGTCTAAATTGGGGGGAGGGGTTCATTTAATACCCTTAATTTTTATTGCTGCTATTGAACAATTACAGTATCTTTTTCATTTCTTGATTTTAAAACTAGCTATTTCTGCTGAAAGATTCTAACATTTTTCCCCTCCTTGGTTGTAGTTCCTCCTAGTTTCCAAAAGCCTTATAAAGAATGGGAAGATGGTAACGCAGTAGATACGGGAAGAGGTGGAGAAAACAAAGATGTGATTGTCAACAATCCCCTCTCACTGTACTGTGAGACCAATGCTGTTCCTCCTCCAGTTCTTACGTGGTATAAAGATGGCTATCCTCTCAGCTCTAGTGATAAAGCACTAATACTACCAGGTAAGTATTAAAATGTCACTCTCTAACCTCAAGGAATGGTGTTAGTGCTAGCATTTGTGTGGTCATAAACTTTTCCCCTTCAAAACACTGCATTAATGTTCTTTGCAGGCTTTCTTGACTGGAAATGTTTTTTGGTTTTTTTTACCAGTCCTTGGACTTAAGCTGTTTCCTTCCTTCATTTAAACAGTAATTCCTGAAATGGTGTGAATGTGACCATTTAACTTTCATATGATGTGTTGCAAACTCTAAAATACAGCAATGATACCTTCCCTCTGATGTGTTTCCAATTTATTTCCTTGTTAGGTTTTGCTTTGGCAAAGTCATAATTGGAATAGAAAAGCCTCTTAAGCAGGGAGTGAGGCATGGAAGTAACGTTTCCAGCAGAGAAATGGCCATGAGCTCTTACTTAACTTCATATGGGAAAGGGAGAGAGGTGCTTATAATGTTGAGAGTACAAAAAGGGAGCCTTTATGTGCAGAGGATGGTTTGGGATGGCGTGTGTAAAGGGCAGTGGTGGGGATAACGTCTTTTTGTCTACCTGTTGCTCCTGTGTTGGGAGACCACTGACAACCGCTCCCAAAATGTATTCCTAATATGCCCTCTCTTTCTGAAGTTATTTATGTGGCTATGCCTTAAATGAGGAACAGAGGGAAAAGTGAATATAGTATGTACCTATAAGCTTCAGAAGTGTATCTTTTTCAGTTTGCAACAGCTTTACCAGAATATCATATGCTTATATTTCCTTTTGCCTATTAGTTCTCTGTCAACTTGCTGAGAAATATTTCTATTTTTGATTGAAGGATAATGTCTGGCTGCATTATTGCTGAAGAATATTATTCCTTTCTGTGGAATTAGTTGCTCTTTTCTAACATTTCAGTATGAACATTGCTGATTTCCAAGTATCTGCCAGTAGAAAAAGTAGCTAGGAAATAAAAGTCTTTAGTTACTTATAATTCAGAACAAATGCTGACCATTCATAAATATGCTTGCTCAGGTCTCTAGTGAAATGTGGTGTGGAAATGATGGAAACTGCTTGATGCTGCATTTAAATCTTGAATTCCTTTTCCTTCCAGGAGGCAGAGTGTTGCAGATTCCACGGGTACAGGCTGAAGATGCTGGGAGATACATGTGTGTGGCAGTGAATGAAGCTGGGGAGGATTCCATTCATTATGATGTCCGCGTGCTCTGTGAGCTTTCCTGCTTTATTTTTTCTTTTCGATGACCAAAAAAAAAAGAGTTCCATGGAAACGAAAGAGCATTATAGTTCAGGTTTACTTAATGCTTTTAAAATCTATGAATTCTGCATATTTGTAAACTGTGAAATTAATGTGCTTATACTGACTGCTAGAATTTTGTAGAAATATACAGAATTGCATGAAAATAGTGTTAATGTTATTAGTCTAGTATGTTTTTACATAATTATTGTAGGAACTCAATTGTGTTATCCCTATCACGCTCCACCAGAAAGAAAAGTATATTTAGAAATCCACGTTTTATCTTGGTATCTCTTGTTCTCTATACAGTTTCCAGCTCAAAATTCTAACCTACTAGACTTTTCTCTCTCCTTATTTTGCTCATCATTTTCTAAAATTCCTGCAAAACTCCCAGAGGTGTAAGGGAATGGATGATTTAGATCAAACATTGAATGCTTGCTGAGTTCATTTTGTACAATCTGTTTACAGATGTTGCACAGAAGGCTTTCGTATGCTGCTTGTGTTTTCTGTTGGTGTACTCAAGGTTTTTGCCTTGGGAAAGACTTATTTTTTTTACCTCTATTTCTGTATCTACCACTGAAAACACTGATTTATTGTTATGAAGTGGGCCTGCCTTAGAAATCCTCTTTTGTTCTGGCAGCAAAGAACATGATGGACTAGCTGGAAAATTAGTTTTTACCTATTCTTTATGGCTGCTGTGAATAACCATACTTCTCCAGCAGTCCCTTGGGTTACACTGTTTTGTTCCAGCTGAATTACTCTTGGGATTTTATTGTCTTTCACTGTATTCATTGAAGACTTCACTACTTTCTTATAGAAATCCAATCTAAAAGATTGGTGGCCAATCTTAGAGAAAAAAAAACAAACAACAAAAAACACTGAGAGACACACTAACACATGGTATTCTTACCATGTTTTGCTCTTTTGTAGTACCGCCATCCATCAGTGGACCTGATGGTGATCTGCCTGAAGAAGTGACTGTGCTTGTGAACAAGGTTGCAGTGATGGACTGTGTTGCAAGTGGCAGCCCTTCTCCAAGTATTACCTGGCAAAAGGATGGCCACCTCCTAGCAGAAGATGACAAACACACATTTTTGTCCAATGGAAGGAGGTTACAGGTAGCTCTTACTGAATAATCAATTTTTAGCTTTGCAAACACAAGCTGCCCATAAAGACAAAACTTTTTAGATTTGTTGAGTATGAGAGTCTGAATTTTTTCTATAAGGTTCGGCAAACCTAAGGGGTTTTTATCTCTTGTCCCTGTCCCTCAGCTGCTTTTTCCCACTCCTGTGCAGTTCCCTTGCAACTGTTGTGGGGTCATGCTGTGAACCACATCAGTGAATAAAATAAAGTTTATTTTTGTGGAGAACAGCTTGTTGTTGTCAGTTTTGTCCAAGTTTCCCTAACAGAGTTTAATTATTGCAAAATGTACTTTTTATTTAAATAGTGAATTCTGAAGAATGCATTCTCCCCATCAGTGGGTGATACTGGTTGAAACTGTTAAAACAGAGAGCTGAGCTTAATTATCTCCATTTTTATAGCATGATCTAAGAATACAATAAAATATAAAAACATATAGACCATTAAGATTTTTATTTAAAATATTTTGTAGATAGTTGTTTTGTTATTCAATTTGAATGAATTTAATGTGAAAGATACTATGTTGACTTTTCTGGAGGTTTGAGATGCATAACAGATGCTTGAGTTGCATAATGGATTCTGAAAGGAGTAGCATCAGTGGAAGTTTCTCAGACTGGCTTCTTTATAACACTGCAAAGGCATTAGCAAAAAAACCAAATCAAACCAGAAACCCCCTGCAGACTTGAAGGCCCCGAGGACCTGTGGTCTTTGGGAGACTCCAAAGCTTGATGCTGTAACAGTAAGTTGTCTTATACATGAGCTCAACAACAATCCTGTTTTTTTTTCTTAGATTTTGAATTCCCAAATAACAGATACTGGCAGGTATGTCTGCATTGTGGAAAACATAGCTGGAAGTGCCAAAAAGTATTTTAACCTAAACGTTCATGGTAAGTGCAATAATCCATAATTTTCTGGTTGTTGTCTTTCAAATGTTAGTTTAGCTTGAATGTGTTACTTTTTGCAGAGTGCTTAGGCACATACTTAGCTTTATGCAAGTAAATTGTCTTACTGGGTGTAATGGAAATTCTGATGTACTAGAAATCAAATATAAGTTTAAGGTACCTTGGAAAACATAGCTGGCAAAACATGGCTTCAGCTCTTTATATGCATTCCATGTAGATGGAAATTATCAAGGGAGCTGTGTGTAGTTGCTATGTGTGATATACTGTGCAGGTGTTGCTAAGCCCTGAAATGATTAATTACAAACTGATAACAAAGAGATATGGCATTGTAAAAACTTTTTTTTTTTTAAATTTCTCCTTTAAAATTCCTTTCTGTTGTTGTTGAGTTGGGAATAAAATAAATTTGGGCCTTTGGCATCACAAGTCTAAACCAAATGCAATCAAGAAATTAAGATATTTTCCATTATATTAAAAGTCTCTCCACCATCTTCCCTTACCTCTCCTGATAGCTTCGGAAAATCAGATATCTCTAATTAACATTTCAGAGTTCACTGAACTTCTCCTTTTATTTCTGACCACTCTTCCTCCCACCACTTTCAGCTTTCCATTCTAAATTGAAGATGAAATAACTATCACTCCCACAAAATCATCTGCACATTACATGTTAAAACCTACTGAGGAATACTGGCAACTGCATCTTTACTTACTTTCACAGTACAATTTGGAGACTTACATCACAGTCTTCTACACATGATTAATATCCTTTTTCACATCCTTGTTAGCTAGCTAATCTTCTGTACTAGAAATCATACTAGAATTTCACACTAGGAAGAAAAGTGCTGTCTTCTCTTGCTTAAATACAGTACCAGCATCCAAAGAATTTGATGATTCGGGTTATTACATACAGAAGAAATATTTTTTTTTTCATTCAGACATGCAGAAAATTTACATTGTAAATGAAACAAATTTATAGTGCCTTTTTCTACTCAGTAATACCATTAGCCAAAACCAGTGTTGTCATGGGAAGAATTTGCCCTGGATTAATTCTCTGAGAAGCTGTTTTCTTTCAGTAGAGTCTATCCAAATTTCCTGATGTTTGAGTTCTGTTTTCTAAACATATTTTGCTTTGCTTTACATTTCTGTTCTAATTTAAACTTCTTGTCTTTAAGGTATTTGTTTATAATGACTATAGTCTAATACTATTATTTGAAAACAAGTAGTTGCATGAAGCTTCAGTTCTAGCTCAACAGTATTACCAGTTTAGGTCTAATAATATCTGAATGCAGTTTCATTTGAAAAAATAGACTATAGCTGTTCAGGAAAGGACCACCCAGGGCGAAGCACTGATGAAAATGCATTATCACTAAGCAGCATGACTTTTGTTTTGTCAGTGTCAAAAAAAGGTTATTTTCCAGCATTTTTGTATGCTTCTAATGGAACTGCTTTCATAAATTCAAATAAAATGTTAAAGATGATGCTCTGTTAATAAGTTAAAAATCCACTTCTTGTCTCAAAGGTGAGTAATAAAACTAAAATAAAACCTTCTAAAATATTGAAAATAAGCATCCCATTTTAAAATCTCAACCTCTAACCTTCATATATAATAAATAGGTAATTTTCACACTGAACATTAAAATTGAGCGCCTTACTGCATCTGTATGCTGATAACCTGTGGTATATTTGTGAGTGCTTTGCATGCGCCCTGAAGGCTGCAGAATTTGAAATGGGCCGTTTATATAGTTTTAAGCAAAATTCATTAAAAGATAGCTCAGATTTGGCCCTGTGTATTTAATTGCCCACTGTCTTGCTCTGCCAATAATCACATCTGTGGGAAAGTAACTGTAAAAGTAAATAAATATAAAGAACTATAAAATGTCATCAGATCAGAATTCTCCATTTATTCTAGTGAACTATTTTACGCTCATTATTGGGGAAATAACCTTAATTTATTCCAAATTAAAAACTATGGACTGAATTCACCCATTTACATTGACTCCTCTTGTTTCTGCAGTGCCACAAAGGAACAATAAACTTGGCTTAATGACTGGTTTGTGTCATTCAAGTGACAGAAAGCAGCTGGAGTATTTCTGGTGGATATGATCCAAAATACTTCAACATTTCTGTCTTTGAAGAAGAGGATTCCATGTGTTCTTTGGAATGGTTTTTCCACCCAGTAGAGCCAAGAACATGCTTTTGCTTTCCTCTTAAGTGTTTTATATATCCACACTGCAAAAACATGGAAACTAAAACTTGGGGTCTATTAAAAGGAAGTGATTTACAGTTATTTCATTTTAAATAGTTCTTGTAGAAATGTCAAATGCCAAAATACTCTTGTATTTAAAAATACCGGGACTTGTAAGCATAAAAATGCACCCCTTAGAGCAATGCTTGCATGCCAGAATTTTAAAGTGCTTAGCTCACTATTAAGCAACAGGTTTGTCTGCTCAACAAAAGAACTCTGAACTGTGTCAGGAGGAGTCATTTTTTGATTCTCTATAATGAGAAAATGGACTATTTCAGAGCAAATAGGAGCAACACAATATCAGGAACAAATTATACTTAGTCCTACATATCCTGACAAGGTAAATTTAATCTATTGTGCCTTACATAACAAGTGTCCTATGAGTTCAGCATTTTAAAATTGATAGCGCATTAGTCAGGAACTGCAGGATCTCTTATAGGTTAATTAGCCTTCCGAAATCTCAACCACAGAAGGACTGCAGATGAAATCATTGAAATTTTTGTGAATTACAGGAACGAGAATGACCATTAGATTGGCTTCAGTTGTATTTCCAGATACATCCAAAAAGCAGTGGAGCCATCCATAGGATGTGAAAGATATTTGCAACTTTGACCCTTTGGCAAATCTTAGCAATTCAGCTTTATTTTAGTAAATCAGGATCTTGTGGAATATTGTTTGCTGGTGCTGTGGTAGATACTATTCATGTATTTCTCTCCGCAGTTCCTCCAACTGTTGTTGGTACTAATCCTGAGAATTTGACTGTGGTAGTGAATAATTTCATCTCTCTGACTTGTGAGGTCACTGGCTTTCCACCTCCTGATCTCAGCTGGCTCAAGAATGGAAAACCTATCAGTTCAAATACCAACACTTTTATTGTGCCTGGTGAGGAATCTCAGCTATTTCTACAGCCTTTGGACTCAACTTCTGTCTGTTTTGTCTTGATAAGGGTGATGGCCATTATTTATAAAGCCAGTATGTTCTTAGTATTGCTCCAGTGAGTAGGCAAGACACTTGGCCTACTGTGTTTAATGACTTCTTGGCTGTTGGGTGGGTTCCTTTTTAAAGAAAACTGGCTTGGACTGAAAGCACTGAAATAAACTCTGTTTTTTTAAAAGACTAGAGGCCAAGTCACAATACAGAGGTACTCTGATACAGGTATTGATTAAAGTTGAGTCACTTTGACTCACCTTTCAAAGAGATGATCAGAAATTGTGACATTAAGTTAAATTTTGCTGGCTTGGATGACAAAAAGTAAAACCTTTCCCATTGACTTCAGCGGGAAACTGGATTAACCC